AGGACTAGTAACACAGGCGTAGATGAAAGAAAGAGAGGTTTATTGTAAAAAGAATACACTACTGAAAGACAGGGAATCGGGTGGCAGGCTAATAGTTCACGAAGCAAGGATATCTAGCGACCACCCCACGCGGTCAGATGTGGCACAAGGCCGAATTTAACGTGGGGTATCCCAACCCGTAGGCTCGGTCAAAAATTCACCGTATAAAACGGGGTTGGGTAGCTGTTTCCCGAGAAGAGACTCTGTCCTTCGACATAGCCTCGTCTGGGAATCCTCTCTGCCCGGAGGCAGAGAGTTTGACCAGCACAGCGGGAGACGCATCTCCAATTAATTCCCGAAGCAAGGTTATTTACCTTTACCCCCCTGGTTCCGGGGGTGCATGGTGTGATACAAGGCCGTTTTTTTAATGCGGGGCAAAACCAGCCCATAAGCTCAAGCAAAAAAACCCCAAAAAAAACCTGTAGACCGCGTATACACGGGGTCGGGTAGCTGTCTACCACCCCAGACGAGACTCTACCCTTCGGCATAGCCTCGTCTGGGTTCCTCCCTGCCCGAAGGCAAAGAATTCGACCAGCACAGCTGGAGACGAATCTCCAATTGCCGAAGCAAGATTATTTACCTCAACAAACCGCCAGGTAGGATGTAGCACAACGCCTTTTTTAATGCGGGGCAAAACCGAGTCCGTGGGCTCGGGCAAAAATTTCCCGTAGACCCCGTAAAAATCGGTGTCGAGTAGCTGTCTACCTCATCAGACGAGACTCTGCCCTTCGGCATAACCTCGTCTGGGTTCCTCTCTGCCCGAAGACAGAGAGTTCGACTAGCTATGCTGGAGACGAATCTCCAACTAATTGCCGAAGCAAGGATATTTGTCAACCGCTCCACGCGGTCAGATGTGGCACAAGGTCGAATTTAACCTGGGGTATCCGAGCCCGTAGGCTTGTGCAAAAATTCTCCGTAGACCCCGTAAAAAACGGGGTTGAGTAGCTGTTTACCACCCCAGACGAAACTCTGCCCTTCGGCATAGCCTCGTCTGGGTTCCTCTCTGACCGAAGGCAGACATTTCGACTACCTTATCTGGAGACGAACCTCCAACTAATTGCCGAAGCAAGCACTAGGTATATCCTGTGTTCACCATATATAGATACTGATATAGTCAGACCACATAGGCGATAGTGTGAGTTGGACATTCTATTATAACAACCACAAGTTGGATCCCCAATGAGGATCTAACTCCCCACTAATGACCATCCAAACTAATTCCCTGATCCTTACCACAAGTTTGTGGTACTTGTTCCTTCATCCATTTACTTAAACATATCAAGTAAGTTACCCGATGCCTTTCTGGGACCTTTGACGTATCCTTTGAGAGTTAAATCTCCAAGCCTTCTTTCCTCGCAGCTTATGAGACTTGAGGCAACAAGAATGTGGTGTTTGAGCGCGGAGAATACCATTGACGAAACATGCAAACAACGAGGAAGTTTTAAGGGAAAAGTAAACAAAAAGGTGAAGTATACTTGGAAAAAAGAAAAGGTTGACATTTCTGGAACAAATAATGAGAAGAGAAGGCTTGCCGAATTTGACACTCACAGGACATATTGAGGACAAAAGGGTAAGAGAGGAGCACATAATAACGTACCTAACTAACGTGTGTAAATGGTGGAGTAGAAGAATATTAAAAAAAAACACTGCTAAGAGTTACGAAGGATAGGAAGTTGTGGAGAACATCCACGCCCTGAGGAACAAGACACATAGAAAAAGGGGAGGGTGGCTATAAGTAGCAAATCTATACTAAAGATTCTTTGGTTCTCATTATTAATACATTAGTAGACAAGAATACATCGATATACGTGACTTTATTTTACTTTGCCCATCCATAGAAATAGCAATTTATAAAGAGACTTTCTTTTCTAGAATTTACTACTTGCGTTGTTCTAATATTGGACGAAAATTTTCTTCTGTTTCGTGACAAAATGTCGTCGTTAATGTTTCCTGTTTTGATTTTCAGCAGTCGTTCAAAACTTTATTATATGTAATCACAATAATTTTTTTTTTTACAAGTATGGAACCACTTTGCTATTTACTCATCCGTGTCAGACAACCCTGGAACAGGTGAGCAAATTGATTCGAATTCATAGATACAAATAGTCGCCTTCAGGCATCGACTCAGGCTGTTGACGCTGTTGGCTAAAGGAATTGGGGAAAATAATGGCAAATTAGTTATTATTAGTTATTATTATCATGATTTTATTTTTGACGATTTCCCGCGTCATTTTTGTTGATATTCTTTTCCATTTTGAATATTTTTTTTTTTTACTTTTCTCATTTCATTCTTCCGTTTATGTTATTAACCAAAACAAGGTATAAAAATGACAATTTTATTTTTCTATTTGAATTTACACCCAACGTCTTTTTATTTTATACTTTTAAACAAAGGTATTTTATTTCCGTTTTTTTTTTTTTTTTTTTTTTTTTAAATCTATTTCTTACCGCATTTTCTAGCCTCCACCAGATTTTACGAGACTACTTTTAAATTTAGATGTTTTTTTAACTATGCTAATTTTATTTTCTTAGTTTCAATTCCGGTGGCGTTTTTCCTTGTTCCGTTTATATATTATTTACGTTTTCAAGCTCTCTTATTTTCAATTCTTTTTTTTTTTTTTCAGACTTGACAACGGTTCTTTCTTTTCGGGATATTCATGAATTTTGGAAGAATAATACCACATTTAAAAACATTTCTTCCTTCATCGTTCCACTCTGAGATTATAAACATTGGCGGATATTGAGAAAAGGACACTTTTCGACAAGTTTTCATTTAGATCAAGTAGTATGATGAATATATGTCTATATCTCTGAGATGAGGTATTATGATTACTTACATTATTTACATTACTCGGACTGTTATCCTCATCTTCATTACCATATTCACAACGTTTCGGCCTCTATATCACTGAGATGAGGTATTATGATTACTTGCATTGTTTACATTATTCCAAGTTGTTGAACCTTCGTAGTCACCTTTAGACTCATCTAACGCATTCCAAATACTCTGCATTGTCGTCAAATATATGTTTGTTCATATCTATCTATCTATCTATCTATCTATCTATCTATCTGGGTCTGTTTATATCTATTTTAGCCTGTTCATATCTATCTATCTATCTATCTATCTACCTATCTATCTATCTCCTTTCAGGTTTTAGGTTATCATGGTTCTCTATAACTTCCTCCCTTTCCGTGCTCTCAGCAATACTTGTTCCTTTACAACTCTTCGGTGTTTTCGTAGCACTTTATTCCTCTATTCATATTGTCAAACTCCTCAATTATGTCAACTACTGCATTTTTATGTTGATTCTCTTTCATTCTGTGCGCACTGTGAGTAGTAAATTTACCAGGCCTTCTTTCCTCATTGTGTGTTCTAAAAGGTCTTGCTATTTGATTGTTAAAAAGTTTCCGTCGTTTTTCACAAATCTGTCCAACATCAGTCACAAGTAACACATCACAGTTTCTGTCGCCTACTCTATCCAGATAGTGAAATAAACACAGCTGTTTGATTTTGACATCCCCAATATATAAATCACAAACCCAACTGCCCTTTTTGCTGACAACTATGCGTTTCTTGGTGGTGAACTTTTCGCCGTTTATCCTTGTTTTCATCGACTGATTTCTTTAATCGTTTTTCAAGTTTTCCTTCTAAATCAGCCATCAACACAGTGTCGCCTGCGTAGCGTGTATTGATAAGCCGACGTCTGTTGATAATAAATCATGATAGGTCTTCCTAATCCTCTTATTATCAATGACTGCGCTTATGTTTACAAATTCAAGGATTCCGATGAGGATACACGTCTCTCTTGTGGGCCTCACATCACATTTAAAATGTCATAAATTGTCTGTCTTGAATTAGTAGGTTAGCATCGTAAAGGTTGGTTAGATTAGTTGATTTTACATGTCAACTCTTGTTGGGTTTATTTAAAACAGAAACGAGAGCAAAGGAAATATAGTCGTTACCAAACTGAACAGGCAAGTTTTAAATCGGAGAGCGCATGCGCGCACACACAAACACTTCTCTTTCCCATCCTGTTTTTATCTCTAACACGTGAATGGGTGGGGGAAGCTCTTTGTCTGTTCATCCTTATAGATCAGCATTTTACGTTTGATTAAGAGAGAGAGAGAGAGAGTGAGAGAAAGAGACAGAGAGAGAGAGAGAGAGTATGTGAGAGAGAGAGAAAGAGAGAGAAAAGTAAAAGAGAGAGAGAAATCGATAGAGATAGTGAGAGATAGAGAGAGTGTGTGAAAGAGAGTGGCAGAGAAAGAGATAGATGTATAGACATAAAGAGATATAGAAAATGAGAAAGATAGATAGAGATAAAGAGAATGAGAGAGTGGGTGATAGAGATATAGAGAGAGGGAAAAAGAGTGAAAAGGGTGAGAGAGATAGAGTGAGAGAGTTAGAGAGCGATAGAGATAGAGAGCGATAGAGAGAGAGAGCGATAAAGAGAGAGAAAGTAATAGAGAGATAGAGAGATATAGAAACAGTGACAGGGAGAGTAGCGATAGCGAGAGTGAGAGTGAGAAAAAGGGAAAGAGTGAGATAGAAATAGATAGAGTGAGAGAGATAGAGATAGAGATAAAGAGAGATAAAGAGATAGAGATAAAGAGATAGAGATAAAGAGATAGAGAGAATGAGAGTGAGCGAGAGAGTTAGAGATAGAGATAGAGAGAGAGCGAGAAAGAGTGAAAGAGAAATAGTGTGAGATAGAGAGAGATAGAGAGATAGTTGAAGAGATAGAGAGAGTGAGAGAGAGAGTGAGAGAGAGATAGAGGGAGAAAGTGATAAAAAGTGAAAGAGAATGCGAGAGAAACAGATAAAGAGAGATATAGATAGATAGAGAGCGTGAGTGAGAAACACAGAGAGAAAGCGATAGAGAGAGATGGAAAGATAGATGAACAAAGAGAGAGTGATATAGAGAGAGTGAGTGATATAGACAGAGTGAGAAAGAGTGTTAGAGAGAAATCGTTAGAGAGAGATAGAGATAGATAGAGAGCGTGAGCGAGAAAGAGAGAAGGAAAAAATAGAGAGGTGGAGATAAAGAGATAGAGAGATTGAGAGAGAGTGAGAGGTAGAGATAGAGAGAGTGAGAAGGAGTGAAAGAGAGTGATATAGAAACCGCTAGAGTTAGGGAGATAGAGAGAAAGAATAAACGTGAGAGAATTAGATAGATAGATAGATAGATAGATAGACAAATATATAGATAGATAGAAAGAAAGATAGATAGATAGAAAGAAAGATAGATAGATAGATAGATAGATAGATAAATAGATAGATAGAAAGAAAGAAAGATAGAAAGAAAGAAAGATAAACGTGAGAGAATTAGATAGATAGATAGATAGATAGATAGATAGACAAATATATAGATAGAAAGAAAGAAAGATAGATAGATAGATAAATAGATAGATAGAAAGAAAGAAAGATAGAAAGAAAGAAAGATAGATAGATAGATAGATAGATAGACAAATAGATAGATAGATAGATAGATAGATAGATAGATAGATAGCCTTTAATAATAACAAAAACTATGAATAATACAACGTTAAAAAAAGAAACAAAATTAATTGGTTCATTACTAAAACGTTGTCTTGTTACTGCTGTTTTAATTCTCTTGACTGAGTTGAGTTAGTGGCTGGGTTTTCTATTTCTAGATTGGCACTTAGCCACTAGGCGGCGCATCTATTAATTGTTTTAAACGCGCCTCGATTTTAATGTCATTTCTTTTCTCTTCTTTGTTGCATCTTTCACTTGGAATCAGACTGCTGTATACTCGATTTAACACTAAGTACTTTTAACTCGACGCCAACCTCTAATTAAGTAAAGTCATTAGCAGAAATCTAAAAGAAAATAATAGGTAATTTCAACCATATCTCTCTCGAAAAAAATCTACATTAATGAAACTACATTTGTAATTGAAAACCTAACCACTAAATGTACTTCATCTGCAGTATCATCTCTTACTATTTAATGAATGATCCCATGTTATTGCAATATAGTTTAATACATGCTCCCTGCGTCTCCTTATGCATCCTAGCTTCCCCTCTCCTCTATTTTATCCTGTACGCGAATAACGTCGATCGCAGGCAAGTTTTATCACTGGCCTTAATCTTACATAGACCAGTTTTCTTTTCTGTCTTTAATCTTGCCTTAGTCCAGTTTTTTCTTTCCTTAATCTTGCCTTAGTCCAGTTTTTCCTTAATCTTGCCTTAGTCCATTTTTTACTTTCCTTAATCTTGCCCTAGTCCAGTTTTCCTTAATCTTGCCTTGTTCCAGTTTTTCCTTAATCTTGCCTTAGTCCAGTTTTTTCTTTCCTTAATCTGGCCTTAGTCCAGTTTTTTCTTAATCTTGCCTTAGTCCAGTTTTTTCTTAATCTTGCCTTAGTCCAGTTTTTTCTTAATCTTGCCTTAGTCCAGTTTTTTCTTTCCTTAATCTTGTTTTAGTCCAGTTTTTCTTTAATCTTGCCTTAGTCCAATTTTTTCTTTCCTTAATCTTGCCCTAGTCCAGTTTTCCTTAATCTTGCCGTAGTCCAGTTTTTCCTTAATCTTGCTTTAGTCCAGTTTTTTCTTTTCTTAATCTTGCCTAAGTCCAGTTTTTTGTTTTCTTAATCTTGCTTTAGTCCAGTTTTTCCTTAATCTTGCCTTAGTCCAGTTTTTTCTTTCCTTAATCTTGCCCTAGTCCAGTTTTCCTTAATCTTGCCTTGGTCCAGTTTTTCCTTAATCTTGCTTTAGTCCACTTTTTTCTTTTCTTAATCTTGCCTTAGTTCAGTTTTTTGTTTTCTTAAACTTGCCGTAGTCCAGTTTTTCTTTCATTAATCTTGCCTTAGCCCAGTTTTTTCTATCCTTTATCTTGCCTTAGTCTAGTTTTTTGTCTATCCTTAATCTAGCCATAGTCCATTTTTTCTTTCCTTAATCTTGCCTTTAACCAGTTACATTATTTCTTTAATCTTGCCTTAGTCCAGTTTTTTCTTTCCTTAATCATGCCTTAGTCCAGTTTTTTTTCTCAATCTTGCCTTAGTCTAGTTTTTTTTTGTCTATCCTTAACCTACCAATAGTCCTTTTTTTTTCTTTCCTTAATCTTGTCTTTAACCAGTTACATTCTTTCTTTAATCTTGCCTTGGTCCAGTTTTTCCTCTCCTTATGGAAATACAACGGAAATTTGACATCGGGAAGAAACAGTCGAACTTTCTAGGGCACATAATGAGAAAATCAGGCATGGAAAATCTGATATTCACAGGACAGATTAATTTTGCAAAATCAAATTAATTAATCCTTAAATATGTTATTTTGAAACAAATCTCTGGAACTTATATTTATTTATAATATTTTCTAAAAGAGGTCTTTAAATTTGATGTTTTAATTTTCGTCTATTATCGTGGAAGTTAGACGAGTGTGATACCTATATTTTAAAAATGTCTAAAAGCTTTATTTATATACGTATATATGTTAAATTCCTCAGAATAATTATGATGATGAGACAATTTGGATAAAAAGAAGACAATTGGAAAATTGTTTTCTTTTTATATATTTTCCAATTGTTTTATTTTTATCCAAATTGTCTTATCATCCGAATTATTCTGAGAAATTTAACAATATGTCGACATGGAAAACACAAACAAATTCTTAGTAAAAAAAAAAGTTACCATCATCCAGAATGAGGCTTACACAGGAGAGTTCCCTTGATATTTAAATTTAAATATAACTAAAAACATTTCGCTTTTAAACTTGCATTGATAAAGTCGAATTGTCGAAACGCGTCGGCGATGACTATGAAAAATATTTTCAAATTGTCTTTTTTATCCATACGTATATCTATCTATCTATCTATCTATCTATCTATCTATCTATCTATCTATTTAAATATAAATTTTTTGCAGATTAACTTTAGGCTATTGTCTTTCAAATAAAACCAATATTTAACTTCAAAGAAATTTTATTATTTAAAATGTGTTATTCGTTATTTTTTGGGGTGGGGGGCTTGTGGACGAGGGCATGATTGGACCTATTAAAAAATTAAATTCAGTATCCATTCGGCATTTTATTTATCACGAGAAGAACTTGTCCATAATTTTTCAGTATATGTGTATGTCAAACCCATAGTATTTATACACACTTCTCAGTGAAATACATACAAAATGAGGTATTGACATTAAATGTAAATGTCATTTTTATAGTGATGATAAAAAATACAGTATTAAAATCAAACCCCAAAATCAAAAAACATAAAACAAAACAAAAGTCAATATTTGATCCACTTTTCGCAACATGAAGAAAGATCAGTTTTCTAGTTTGCTTTGGCATAAACTTATTTTTTTTACAAACAAGTGACATGCTCGCAGGATTAGGGGCAGGGAAATTTGGAGTTTAAAATAACATTTTCTATGCGAGTGAATATCGTTGTAGATTTGTCTGTCGGCAGACGTGCGAATGTCTGTATTTATCCTTTTAAAATGTGTGTTCCTATGAGGGTTGTATATATTTGAAAATGTGGTTTCTATACTTCGATAAGCAGTAACATTAATGCCTACCTTGCTATCCTCAATGATAGAAACTCGTCACAGAAGCCACCCAGACGGCAAGGATTTCGACAACACCCTCCGCTACCATTTTCTTCTGAAAAAAGGGAACACTGACAACGACCTCTTCTGTAATCTGTGCTAATCGCGCCAGAACCAGTTAAAGTGGGGGCAAGAACAGCACCAGGCGATAAAGCGCGCTTGGGCAAGCGGACATTCCAGATGCCCAATGCTGATAAGAAAACCAAGTTGAAATCCTTGTTACAAGCAACACAAATTATTATCACGCAAAGTTTATTTTAGCCTTTAAATTCAAAATAACGTTTCAGATTGTATATTATTTATGTCACCTCCCTAGAAAGGTAGGATGTGACGTTTTTTTTTTTGTGTGTGTGTGTGGTGTAATTGATACCAGCTCGGAATGAGAAATCTGAGAGCCGAGTTCGAATTCCAGTCAGGTTCCTTGCATTCACTTAGGTGTAAATACCCTTGGGAAAGGTATGAAATCATTTCTCCCCCCCCCCCAGCTACGGTTGGATAGGAGAACAGACTGGGTCCTATAGTTTTAATTAGTAACCAGTCTACCGCAGAGAGAAACGGCAACCTACTGCGGGAATATCTACTGCCTCGTCAGCCATGAATCGAAAGAGACATGATTGTTCAAGCGTGTATTACGTATGGCACTTAACTGACTAATGTAACCGTACGCGTGCATATTTATCAACTGGCGACGATATTATACCGATCTGCGGGAGCATGCGCCTTATACACTGAAAAGGTGGGGAGAGGAGACACTGCGCATTGATTTAGTTTACGTGACCTCCCTCCGAAGGTAGGATGTAACACAAGGTATTTTTATGTTGGGCGGGGGTGGGTGGTGGGTGGCACTCGTACGCGTACATATGGCCTGAAGACACAAATTGCCCAGTCCCCGTGACCACTGTCACACCCGGCGTCGATATTACATTGATCCCACCTCTTAGTTCAATGAGTAAAGTACTGCCTGCACCCGGAGGCTTCTCACATTTAAAATGAAGAGAACAGATTCTATAAAGACCAGATCAGTATTTTTGGTTTGGTCGATTGGTTGATTTTGTTTAGCGGCATATAAACACCTTTATGGGTTATGTAATGCCGAAATCTAAATATTTTGAACACAATTTTATGGCTTCAACGAAATATATTTCGAGCGCAATTGTATGCCTTTTACTGTAAATAGGTATATTGTTGGTAAATAGGTATATTGTTGGTAATTTTTACTATAAATAGATATTGTTAGTATTTTTTATATAAAAAAGGGTTGCTGGGATTGTTACTATAAAAATGTATTTTTATACTTTCATTGTGTTTTGTTTTTGTTTGAGGGGTTCACTATTTGTCCTAATCCGGGACCCCTAGCAGGTACTACCACCCCAGTTCAGGGTGGACCTGGGAGCAACAGTAATTAAGATGTGGATCCAGGTTTCTCAAAACCTCAAATCTCCCGATCTGAGGCCTTGCTGCCGGATGAAGTTTATCGTCATACCCAGGACTATTAGTATTTTTAGCTGAAAATTGTTATTTACTTTCTTTATTGAATTGAACAAAGCAAGTTGACTGCGGCAGATAATCAAATTGACTGAAGAATGGACAACTTTGCTCATATCTCAAATTAGCTTTTCTATCGACCATTTCTGTGAGTACTTATGGTTTAAAGAGAAATAGCTTCATCTTCTAACTAACTACAGTGACTAAATGAAAGTTAATGCTAATATTAGCCGTTTCCTTGTGTGGAGAAATCGACATTCACTGACCGAGTAGCCAGTGCCACTGTCGATTGAAATTTATAAAATATTTGTCTATATCTCTGAGATGAGGTATTATGATTACTTGCATTATTTACATTATCTGGACTGTTATACTCATTTTCATTGCCATATTCACAACGTTTCGGCCTCTATATCTCTGAGATGAGGTATTGATTACTTGCATTATTTACATTATTCGGGCTGTTATCCTCATCTTCATTGCCATATTCACAACGTTTCGACCGTTGTACGCTCCGGCCTTCTTCGGGTGATTGGAATTTCGAACCGAACCCTTTATTTCGTCCACGGAGGTAGATTGTTCTATTTCCACGTGCCATACCTCAAGGACACATGGTCCAGTGGATAAAGACGTTGGTTAGATCCAGTGACTAGACCCGAGGAGTTGTGAGTTCGATACCAGGCCATAACAGTGGCGAACCAAAAACTTGGAGAGTTGAGTTAAAGGGAAATAACTGAGAAATCCGGAAGAGGCATAGCATGTGGAACTAGAACAATCTACGCCGGTGAACTAAATAAGGACTTATCTGAAGTCTTTATGAAGGGCGATTCCCTTCCAAACAATAACAACTACATATTCTGGGGATATATAGAATTTGGTACGTTTCGGCGTAGCCCATTTGGCGTGGCTGGTTCGGCGTCAGAAAAATAGTTGGACTATTCGGCTCAGCCCTTTAGGCGTCAGACTATTTCGACGTCACTGTCTTTGACCAAAGGCATCCCCCCAAAAAAAAAGGGAGTAAAAGCACTGAAGACACACAACTTTCAATATGACTTTTTATTCATTTAAGGAATTAAGGATCCTATTAAAACACTAATGGAATTGTGTAAATTAAAAATATCACTTTATATCGAACTTTCTGTTCACATCGCCAAAAACTTTAATTCAGGATCCCTCTTGCTCGTTGTGTCAAAAATAAAAAAAAAAAGCTTTCCATTGTGTATCACTTTGTTTCTTTCGCGTTTTGATAAAATATTTACTTCCATTTTGGAATAAAAGGGCTTTGACGACTGAAAAATATGAATCTGCCCTGAAGGAAATATAATATAAAAATACCTCCAACTAATTTTTTTTAAAATTTAAATATGCCTTCAACTATTCTTTTTCTTAAATATAAAAATGCCTCCAACTACTCTTTTTTAAATTCAAAAATACCTCCAACTACTCTTTGTCTTAAATTTAAAAATGCCTCCAGCTACTCTTTTTTCTTAAATATAAAAATGCCTCCAACTACTCTTTGTCTTAAATTTAAAAATGCCTCCAACTACTCTTTGTTTTAAATTTAAAAATGCCTCCAACTACTCTTTTTCTTAAATTGGACTATTTGAGAATATAACGATGAAGTACTAATTTGACTACTAAACAAGAGAGAGAGAGAGAGAGAGAGAGAGAGAGAGAGAGAGAGAGAGAGAGAGAGAGAGAGAGAGAGAGAGGGAGAGAGAAAACAAATTTGACTATAACGACGAAGTAGTAATCTGACGCCTGATCGTCCCACTGCCGAAAAATTCCTATTTCGAATCGGCTACGTCAAATCGGTCACGTCGAATCAGCGACGCCAAATCCCCTACGCCTGGACGTCCCATTCCCGGATAGGTAGGATAGATAACGGTTGATTTCAGACTTGAAAGGTTTCACATTGTAGTGGCAAGGTAAGCATCCTCTCATGTGTCTGTTCTTCACAATGACAGTTCTGGAGAAGAAGCTGTCTGAGTGGAACTTTTTCCTTACTAAAGGAATACAAAGAGAAGGAGGATGAATTGACGACGTATACGTGACATGGTGGATCCTAGTGTGAAGGGTTGAACTGGTGGAACTAAGGAATGTAGCTCATCTGAACATTTGCTATGGAAATAGCGATAGAGTAGTGAGAGGTAAGTAATGTTTCATCTGTGGGAAAAGAAGTGTGAATAGTGTAAAAGGCATGAAGCTATCTTCCCTCAACTATGAGCTAAATAGCAGGGTGACTGGGAGTTCTTGTCTTGATGTGACAATCAATATAGGTGAAGAAAAACTCTGAATTCTAAATCAGTCTGAAGAGAGAGATGTGCTCCGTCAGCTTATCTTGCACTAGACACACCACTGCTGCTACAGCTGCAATACATACAGTGTTCCTACTACTATAATATGTTAGCGGACTCGTGACGAGTGATAGCCTTTACTGAAATATATTCTTATTTATGTTTGATGTTAATTTAGGTGCTATAAGTTTACCAATACTAATCTGGCATTATTGGGGCCTGTGGTATGTTTGCTGTTATTTTATCAGATTACTAATGGTTGCATTATAATACACTTAACCCAACAGCTAACCACGTCTTTAAAATACCCTGTAAATCAGTACATGTTGATTAATAAGGGAAAAAAGAGAAATTAAATGAAAATCACTTTCTACTTTGTTATGGACAATATATCATGTTTGTGCTTTACATAATGAGAAGAACTTCCCATATTCATTGGAGCCATGATTAAACGTTGGAAACTGTGTCTGATAAATGATTTTGCCGAGTTATTGATGGTAATGTTAACCACTTCATCCTTGCTTTAAGATACCCTGTATATCAGTAAATGTTTGTTAATAAAGGAAAAAAGAGAAGTTAAATGAAAATCACCTATACTGTGCAGCAGAAATGCCTCCCACATAATGGTATGACATTTATGTTAAGGATGTCTTCATCTAGCTCAGTGATTCTCAACTGCCATGCCATGGGATCCTCTTAAGTATGCCGCAAAATATTTTCGCAGAAGAGTGAAACATTGAAGAAATTGCAAAAAAAACCCAACTCCCACAAAAAAAAAACAAAAAACAACAACACCAGGCACAGGTTTCACACTAATTAAGCTGTGCAAATAGTTGTATTGAAATATTGAAATAAACTAAGTTTATATTTGTACGTGTATTTAAAAAATCTAGGGTTTTATTCCATTACATTTAAGTGTTTGGTGATATTTTCATTTGTTCCTAGGTGTGCTGTTGCTTAAAAAGGGTGAGAAACACTGACCTAGCTAATGTCTTAATGGGAGATATTTTTGCCTCACTCTGTACTTCATCTGTTGTTAGGACAATGAATGTGTTTTTGCTTTATACCTGAGAAGAACTTTCCTGCATTCGACCGAACAAAACTTGTAAGTCATAGCACGGACCATCTTCTTGAAAAATTGTGAACTGGCGCTATACAATCACAGACAAATTAACTTTACTAAATAATATATATATATATATATATATATATATATATATATATATATATATATGTGTGTGTAGTGGTACTCGCTTGGAAAAAACTTAGGTATTTCGGTTTGTAGTTGAACAAACCAATGCCCAAGGAAAAATGAGGAATAAAAAAAAAAAAGAATTAAGAACATGAAATTGAGGCGAAAACAATCGTCCAGAATTCAAGCTCAGAGTCCAAAGAAAAAAATATCCTGGGTAAAACTCGCCAGTTTTACCCTGACAATCAGTTTAAGTGAAACCTAGGTAGGTTTACCTGGCTCTTTAGGTTCATATATATATATATATATATATATATATATATATATATATATATATAATGAAATGAATTAAGTTCGAAAATTATTTAAATATTTTTTGTTTATACGTTATTTTTATAGATATAATTTTTTAAGTAAAAGCTTTGTTTTTGTTTTTAAACAGTATTAATTACATTTACTGCCTGAATGCTGTAGAAAAATCTTCGAAGATTGTGGTTAAAAATAGTAATTTGGACTTTGCTAAGTAGCTAAATGATATAGCACCCACACCAGAAAAAAATACCCCTGAGCCAACATATAGAGGATGCGGAGGACAAAATCTGCCAAATTTTAGTGTCTTCCCATTCTACCAATGCGATTACAGAACCACTGAACAAAGGAATAATTTTTCATAAAGTTCAAATCAATATTTATTTCATTGAATAAGTATATTCTATCAAATTCCCCTTAACATAAACGACATATAAAGCCAGTTACACCCTTTGATTTTCATTTTTTTCATTTGTTCAAAACTTTTTGAAAAGCTAAGCAAAACCAGTTAAATTAAAAAAGTTAAAAAAGAAACGCAACAAATTATTTTTCTAAGAAAAAAAACTGAAAATTTTAATTGTAAGTAACAAAGTTTTAATTCTTCTCTGTAAAAATTCATATATTATAAATAACTAAGTTAAATAGTAGGTTTCTTTTTAAAAGTTTTTTGTACAGAATCTTTCTAACAATTTTTTTACCTAATATATATATATATATATATATATATATATATATATATATATATATATATATATATATAGATAGATATAGATATATTGGATTATATATCAACGGATTTTTACCTTACTATATATATATATATATATATATATGATATTAATATATATATAAATATATTATATATATATATGTTTTATATATATATATATAAACTGACAACTAATAATATCATTATATATATATATATATATGTATGTATGAGTGTATATTTATGTGTGTTAATTTGTTTTTGCTGCCGTGTATATATATATGTATATATCTGTGGGTTTCTTTATCCTGTTTTTCTTTGCCTAATATATAATGAAACTATTATCAACTTATATGATTAATATATATTTTTATTGATATTTATGGTTTTAGAATTTTCGTTTTAATATATTAAATAATAATATTATTTTTATCCATTTTTATCTTTGTATATTTGCTCCCTTAAGTTATAATTCAATAAGTGGTTAGCATTTATTTAAGTATGAAATATTTATTGGTTGTGATTTCTCATTGTCTATGTCATAGTCTGTGGATGTATGTATGTGTATCTATCGGTGTCTATGTGTATGTAAAGTGTATTCACATTTAACTGTGTGTGTATAAGTGTTGGTTTCCACGTCCCCCCTTTTCATAAAGGGTTGTAGAGATGTTCATGTATCCCCATCCACCCTCCTTTTTTTATTTTAGTGTGTGTGTGTGTGTGTGTGTGTATCTAATTATGTCTGGGTGCTTATGTATTATAATCTGATTGTGTTTTTGTTGTGTCACGCGTGAGTTTAAGACCATATTCACAAACTTTAAAATAAAAACGGAAAAGAAAGGGAAAAAGAAGAAAATATATATACATGTATTGTCAAATGACCGGATGTATTGTAGCGTCTTGTCTAACGTAATTTCAATGAAGAAATGAATTGAATATACATATATATATTTTTTTCTTTTCTCAATAATTTTTGTAGTTTTTAAACTTAATAGTGATTAAATTTGGATTTTAAAATTGCCAGTTTTTGATTTTAATATTAAATTTTATCATATAATTTTATAATTATTAGTTAGTATAAATTATTTTTAATATTGCACGTATTTAAAGATCTGAAAAGCTAATATAGCATGATTTCGTTGTCAAGCTTTTGAATCTTTCTATACTTGGTTTTTGATTGGTTATTCTAGCTTTTGTAACAATGTTTTCCCCTAGTGTAGGATCGTTAATTAATCTGAAACTTTTAAAACCATTTATTTTATTTTCAACATCATCACTTGATAAGACACAGAGTGTGTTGAAACAAAATGGCTATTTTTGTAGTGATTTTATAACATACTTATGTTATAAATTTTTTTTATAAAAAATAATTATATATATATATATATATATATCAGCAAATTAATCTAATTTTGATATCAATATATGCGCGTTGAGCATCAGTTATCGACACAGAAAGTAGAATCAATAATCGATATAGTTGCGTTTACTTTCGCTCAAATAACTTTTGGGAAAAGGTATGAAGTCATTTCTTATCTCCCTGCTAGGTTAAGTAAACTGTTCCTTCTAGTCTTGGTTGGCAACTCTTTTTTTCTTTTTTTGATGGCCGGGGGTGGGGCGGGGGAACTTTGAATTCAAAATCGTTCGAGTGTGGAACTGGCAACTCCGCCACGTAAACCCCCTCCCCCAAAAACCCCTATTTTCTACAGAAACCGCAACAACAACAACAACAAACATTGTTCAGTGAAACGTTTGGATCGGAATTCGACTAATAACACCGTGCCTGGTTATGAACTTATTGATCCACTTTCGTACCTACACAGCAACCTTGAAATCTTAGTGCAATCTAAACCGCCAGCCTGAAAACATTTCCTGTCAGTTTCAGGTAAGTGTTGATCAATGCCGCCATAATGCGTTGTTTGAAGCGTTCATCGACGTCTGCTTCCCGCAATAAATACAGAAACGGTACACATCAAAGATGCTAGCAATCATGGTCACTGAAACAAATATTCGCATATGTAAAGTGACTAAAAGAAATCAGTTTATTTTGACGAATGTCGCCTTGAGAGAAAGTGGACACCCAGGGACATGAAGCCTGGGTTACAACTCTTGTTTAGATGCGAGAGGTGTGTACAAGATCAACAGTAAGTTTACGCCTGCCGAAAGAAGGGAAAGGCTGTCTTTGATGTCAGTATAAAATGTGACTCAAAATAATATTTTTGTTTTCACTCCCATGTTTCTGCTGATACAAGGTGATATAGAAATGTTTTAGGTTTGTATGTACAGAGTTGACCGGGAGTCCTCTGTGGCTGAACTATCATCGTACGTTAGTCTAAATAACGGTTCTGTATAGGATACAGGTTCGATTCCTGTCGGAGGACGCATGATTTCTACTAAATTTCTCGAACATTCGTTAAACATACGGTTTAATTCAAAAACAGAACATCTACTCAAATAAGAATATTCATAAAAGACATATAAACAGAATATATATATATAAACATATATATATATATATATATATATATATATATATATATATATATATATATATATATATATTTATTAAAGGCATTTGTATGTTTAACGTTCTTTTTATAGATACAAGTATTTAAGTAAATGCTCTGTTTATAATAAACAGTATTAAATAACATTTACCGTCTTGAATGTCCGAGAAATTTTCATAGAAAATATTCGACCTTTGACAGGATTCGAACCTGCATACTATACGGAAACGTTATTTACGCTGACGTGCCTTGACCGCTCGGCAACAAAGGATCGTTCGGTTGGCAAGGTCGAATTTACTGCTTATAAACTTCAATCTTCCATGAATCTCGTACATTCATAACTGCTCATGACGTATCAAATGTAAACAAATGACGTCATGCATTAAGAAATGGACAAAGTCCGACAATTTATTTATTAAAGACATTTTTATGTTTAACGTTCTTTTTATAGATACAAGTATTTAAGTAAATGCTCTGTTTATAATAAACAGTATTAAATAACATTTACCGGCCTGAATGTCCGAGAAATTTTCATAGAAAATATTCGTTCTTTAAAAAGAACGTTAAACATACAAGAAAAATAAAAACAACAATCGGATTCCCATGGTTTTTAACCACAATCGATATTCCCACACACTTATTCACAATTTAAAAAAGGATTACAAGAACCACCAGTTAGACAAAAAGATCAAAGACATTTTCGATAAACCACCCATAAATGCAAAGAAACAATCACCTATCAGCTATCCTCACCTTTACCAAATATCTAAACAATAGAAACCATTCAGGAAATTACAAATGTAACAAACCTCGTTGCTTAGTTTGCAAACATTTAATAATAGCTAATATATTTTCTGTACCCAACACCAATATCAAGATACAGCCACCTAACCTCACCTGCGATAGCCATAACGTAATCTATTATTTATTCTGCAACTTATGTTCTAATAGTGGATATATTGGTGAGTCTGGAAATAATTTTAGATTTCGTGTGGCACCTTGCATTATTAGAAATATTCATAGAAATATGATTTAATTTTTTCTTACTCAGTTTACTAAACAGGTTGTTGATTTTTTTTAAAACGGAAAATAATTGAGTTGAAAATAATTCACTAAGATTGTACTTAGACGATCCTAAGGGAAGAAGAGGAAAGAAAAGAAAAAGATATCTTGGCCTGCGTGTGGCCGAATTTTTTAAAGACAATTGGAAGAATAGAATTAGAAATAATAAGAAGAAAGAAAGGGAAAAGACATGATATCAAAACGGGCCGCTTGATGAAAACCAGATATCGGTCAAAACATCTGACCTACTTTTGCGTAGAAAGACTCATTATCAATTTGGAGTAAAGGGGAAATCTTAAGAACAATGAGAACGAAATCTTAATCAGAGAAAAAGTGTTTTTGGGTTGAGGGGAGTGACCGGTGGAACTATATACAGATCCTGACCTATTAAGAATTGGAAACCTACGATAATAAAGTGGGAACATTTTCAATGTAGATAATTAAGATTTTCTGACTGTCGGGTCTGACAAAGACGGGAGGTGAAGGGGACGATTGTCTCAGTTCACAGATAGCGCCAATATTCTTCCCTGAAGTCACATCTAATTAGCGGCGGGCTGTTTGACAGAGCCAAGGTGAGAGAAAGCCAAGATTGTCATTTTTCGTACGTGCAGAAAAGGCAAAATTAGATTTTGTTTTTTTAAAAAACAAGAACGATGTAACCACGCCCGAAAATAGGAGAAAGGATGCTCGATCAATAACAATTGGTCGGAAACGGTCACGTGATCTGCGGAAAAGAAGAGAAAGAAGTGCTCGATCAGGAATCATTGGTCGAGAGCGGTCACCTGACATACGAGGGACCGGGAAAGATGGTGTGCGCCTCCCACAAAGGGCACTGTGAGGAAGTAGGGGTGAAAAAACAATAGCGATAATGAGAAGACAGAAATAAGGCAGCTATTGGAATTATTGAAAAAAACCCTGACGCCGACAGACCCACCCCAGTTTGTTGCGGCGTCAATAAAAGCAGGACCCCAGTCGACAGAAATCAGTTGGAGTTGAGGAGTTGCAGCTGGACCGCGGGCAGGGAAAGAGCCTGAACGCGGGCATCAGGCCCGATTCACTCGCCCCTTTGCGGGCAAAAGAATCCTCAGACAAGAAATCCTTCCAGCCCAAGTCGAAGACAGAAGAGTTCAGCCCCGGACGGCAGCGAGAAGAGATCACCTCGGACGACAGAGAGTTGCGGCTGAGTTGCGGCAAGAGATCCTTCCAGCCCAAGTCGAAGACAAGAGAACTTCCAGCCTAAGTCGACGAAGAAGAAGAAATACAACTCAAGTCGAAGAGAAGAATCAACTGCGAATGATCGATAGAAATTAGCCCCAGTGTCGAACTAAACCACACTCCAACATACACAATTCTAAAGAGTAGGCAATTCGAAATCTTTAGGTTGTGTGATAGAAGCTTGGTGCCATAGTCCACAGAGCGGGTCGGGAATTGAGAACAATTTTTCTTTATGTAATGGACATTAGATATAAAAGGTTGTCACCCTTTTTTATCAGTAATTTTTTGTCTCGTGAGTTTTTTTTTCTTTTACTTGTGTTTTGCCACCCCCGTCGGACTCAACTTGTAACGGCCCCAATCCCTGCTGGTCCCGTCTGTCTAAGATCTAAACACAACGTGGGTAGACAGACCGGAGATCAGTACAGTTGCTTCAGTAACCAGGTATTGGAAGCGAGTTGGGAAAGGCGAGGCTGGTGATCATCCAACCAAGGGGTTGGAGCGGCACGCTTGGAACCAGGAGGAGCGACCAGGAGGAGCGACGTCACAGTTGGCGCCGTAACCAAGGGATTCGACCCTGGGCCAGGTGTGTAACCGTCACATTCGTTTCAATAACCATAAACAAGCCATACGTCAAAACAACCCTTATTACCCCATAGCTAAACACTTTAATCAATCAGGACACTCATTAGAAAACTGCAAATGTTTATTGATAGATTCCGATTTTAGTTCCACATACACACGCAGAAAAAAAGAAACATATTGGATTTTAAAATTAAATACCCATAAACTAGGGTTGAATAGGGACTTGGGTGTTTTAAATCTTTATAAATATTTCAATAGTTAAGCAATTTTTTTTAGATATAGTTAAAAAATTTTTTTTAAACAACATTTAAAATATTTATGACAGATTTAAGTTAGGAATATCCGAACAGTGACGTTCCATATCACGTGACGTCCGCGTCTCGCGAAGGACGCTACTTGCTAACAAACAGTAATTTTAATTTATTTGTAACAAACAGTTATTTCTGATGAAAGATTGAGGAAAATTTGAAATATCAAATATATATATATAAATAAATAAATACTTTCATAAACTAAAACATTATTATTTTTTAATTTGAAACTTTTTCTATATATATATATATATATATATATATATATATATATATATATATATATATAGTATAATATAATATAAAGGCTCAAACACTGATATTCCATGAATATAAGTTATTACATTGGAATCGTAATCACGATCCAATTCATCGTGATTACGATTCCAATGTAATAAAGTATAACCATGGGATATTAGTGTTTGAAAGACTATTATATTCTTACTCTCTCCTGGATTCTATCTTCTTGGGAATTTATATATATATATATATATATATATATATATATATATATATATATATATATATAATATCTATCTATCTATCTATCTATCTATCTATATATATATATATATATATATATATATATATCAGCGTCTTAGTAAATGTGGCATGTGAATGTGGATCTGTGTGCGCATATGTAAATATGAATTTATGAGGGAGTATAGTTCCCCTCTCATGTGTCATGTCCCTTCAGGACGTGGGCAGTAATACCTCTCCTCAACTTCCTATCCCTTGTAGTGCTAAGCAATGGTTATCTTCATATTATCTCTCCCATTTCTTGCTCTGTCATTTGCACCTTACTGGTTGTTTTCTTCTGCTCTTCTGACTTTTATTATGTCTCGCGAGTATCAAATTCTCTAACCCCTCTTTCCTCATCATATGTTCTAGAAATTTAAACTGCCTCTTTCTGATTCTAAGTATAAATATCCTTTTTGCTTTTATTTTTCTTGAAAACGTCGTCGTTGCTCACATGAACCGACTATGGCATTCTCCATATTCTTCTGAAGAACAACATTTCCGTTGAATCGGGTCACCTCTTCATTTCTGAGAAAATTATCCAGCATTCACTGCTATATAGGATGAAATATATTACACTGCAGTTTTAAGCAAATTTTCCCGTTTCTTAATACTTTGTTTAGCTTTTCGAAAGCATCTTTCGCTCTTCGGATTTTGATGTCACTCTTTCTGTCGTCTGTTATATGGTAAAAGACTAGAATCGGGGCCATAAAAAGGGCCCATAATTCGCATGCGCCAAAATGAAAGTGACTACAGTTACTCGAAGCAAACAGTAGTTGACTGGTTCAGATTTTGTGTGGTGCTATTTCACTGAAAAAAGAAGAAGCAAAATTAAAAATAATAATAAAATAAATAAACAGTGGTGATAAATTTGGAGGCCCAGACAAGATGGCGGCAATTGATGAAACATTGATTGTAGAAAGAAAATATAACCACGGTTGAGTAATTCATCAACAATGCTTCTTTGGAGGAAATGGAAAAAAGTTCTGAAGAATTTAATTACTTTGTAGAATTTGTTTCTACTCGAACCCTAGAGAATAGCTGGCATCATCTAAAGAGTTTTCTCAAAGAAAAAAAGAACCAACAAAGAAGAATGGGAATAAATATCTAAATATATATTTCGAAAAAAAAAAAGTAAATTGCATCTAAAAATATACTAAAAACAATAAAAAATATATATAAATTTTAACTCGCGAAATATGGCCCTTATTTTATGGCTGAAAACCATATGGCTGATAAACCTTTACCTATATATACTTATTTAAAAACAGGAAGAAGCTCACACGAATTCTAGATGCGCTAAAAAGTGAAGGCTCGGAATAAACATTCCTTTTCAAAACAACACAAAAATAAAATACAGCTTAAACAGTCAAAATATGAGGAAAAACTAACATAAACCAGGGCCTATATAATTCTCATGTACAAAAATGTAAGTGACTACAGCTTCTCGAAGCAAATAGTATTTGACTGGTTCAATTTTGTAGGGATGTGTGCTGCTATTTCATTGACTGTAGTCACTTTCATTTTTGCAACAAGCAAAACAAGACAGTCAGTTGGAGGCTCAGACAAAATGGTGGAGATTGATGAAACATTGATTGTAGAAAGTAAAATATAACCGTGGCCGGGTGATTATAATGGCTCTTTGGAGGAATTGAAAGAAATTTTGAAGAATTTAATTACTTGTAGAATTTGTTCATACTCAAACAACAGAGAATAGCTGGCATCATCTAAAGAGTTTTCTCAAAGAAAAAAGGAACCAACAAAAATCTACAAGAATGGGAATATGTATCTGAATATATATATCGAAAGAAAATGAAAAATTCTTTTTTAAAATATATTAAAAATGCCTCGTTTTATGGCCCGATACTAGACCTTTACCAATTGAATTAATGTATTTGATTGCTTTTTATGTCTCCAATTCGAAAATCGCAACTTAAGCCGTCGACGTATATGTGTAAGCATGCGCAATATTTATAATTAAACAAATGCCGAATTAAGAATAATTTGCTTTTATTCCAGAAGAATATGACTTAATTTTTCTACTGAAGACGATTGGAAAAAAACATAATTAGTTGTTTTATAAATAATGATTTATTGATTAATTTCTTTTTTTACGGCTTATCAACCGTTATTTAAAGCCAGAAAATGTTTGAATATTGCAAGAATGTTTTTTGAGATAATACTGATTTACTCGTACATGTTCTACTAATTAACCCATAACTGGGGGAGAAGAGGCGGATTCATACCTTTCCCAAGGTTGATTTGCGCGAATATAACGGACCCAACTGAAATTAGAACTCGGCTCTCCGATTTGCAATTCTGATCTGTTATACATTACACCACCCGCACATCCAAGCTTACAACAACTAGTATTCGCAAGTGGTCATCCATCTAGGTACTGACCAGCTCGACGTTGCTTAACTTCGGTGATCGTACGGGAACTGGTGTATCAATGTGATAGGGCCGTAAGCCGTTTTATGAGTCAAACTTGCATCTTCTGTACAGATAAAACATTGAAATGGAAGAGAATATTTTTATGATTATCAGAGCCACAACAGTAAACAAAAAACAGCTAAATAATTTTTTTCGTGAGTATTCTAATCAAACAACAACCACAACAAAATACTCAACTTTGAAGCAGAGACACTGTATACTTGCTATATATATATAAAATGGAAAAAGTCCGACAATTATTTTTTTAAAGACATTTTTTATGTTTATACGTTCTTTTTGTAGATACAAATATTTAAGTTAATGCTCTGTTTATAATAAACAGTATTAACAACATTTACCGGCCTGAATGTCCGAGAAATTTTCATAGAAAATATTCGTCCTCCGACAGGAATCGAACTTGTTTCCTATACGGAACCGTCATATAGACTGACGTGCCTTAACTGATTGGGCCACAGAGGTGCATTCGGTAAGCAAGATCGATTTTACTGTTTTTAAACACAATTCTCTATGATTTTCTCGCATACATTCATATCTGCTCAATGCATATCCAAATGTAAACAAATGATGTCACACATTATGAAATAGACAAAGTCCGACAATTACTTTTTAAGACATTTTTATGTTTATCTATAAAAAGAACGTATACAGGCCTGACGATTGCGTCTAGCATGAAATAGCCTGTCTCCTGTGAGTGTTGACTTCAATGTTCAGTTTTTACTATATGTGCTCTATCCCTGATATTGAGCACTTTATCCCATAAATATAGCACACCTTAAAACTATATTTCTTCATATATATATATATATATATATATATATATATATATATATATATGTTGTTGTTGAAACTTGACTAATGCATGGAATAATAATGCAACACAAAATGTACTTAGAACAAAATGTATTGAAACAAGAAAGTGTACACAATATTTACATATAGTCTTTTGTATATTCTTGGGAAGACTGTTCCTGGAGAATGTGTTGACTTAGTCGGGCAGAGTCTCTGGATTGAATCTCTTGATTTCTCTCCAATCTTCCCGGTACCAACCATATTTATATGGTCGGTACTCCACTATGCAAATTAGGTGGATCCTACCACAACACCCCACTCCCAAGCGCTGGAATCCCTTTTGGATTTCCAACTGGCTTCCTATATGGGTTGATGATTATGGCTATTTCTTTGTAGATCCATTTGCATACTTCATATCCATATGTCCATCTGCTTAATTTTTATATTTTTTCCGTTTTGGATTCACGTCCAATGGGCCCGTGAACTTCCGTTTCCTACCGGATCATCTTGGTTCAGGAGTATTCTGTGGAGGTTCTACTTGAAACATATCATACATTACATCAATGGGATCTTCCTCCTCATCCGGTATACTCTCTTCATGCTCTATAACGTAACATTTTTTAAGTTGGTTCTGGTGCCTTTTATGAGTATTCTTCGGCCCTTTAATTATGTAAATCAGGTCACCGATTCTCTTGTCCACTATGCCTCGCTCCCAGAACTCAACGTTGTTTTTGTAGCACTTGAAAAACACCTTCTCTCCGGCGGTGTATCTTTTTCTCGCTGTATCCATAGTATTCTTTACTCTATTTTTTCCTGGCAAAAGCTTGTCAAACACTGACTTAACTTTCCTAGCGAACATTAGCTCAGCTGGTGCCATGTTTGCGTGTATTCTCTGGTTTGGCGTGATTCTGTATACTTGTAGGAATTGCTGAAGCGCCTTTTCCGTTGGAACTCCTGAGGCTTTCTTCAGAGCGCTCTTTAAAATATCGACAAATCTTTCTGCGAGTCCATTGGACCTCGGATGATACGGCGGCATCGTTATGTGGTTAATTTGATATAACTCACAAAATTCCTTAAATTCTTCAGAAGTGAATTGTGTACCATTGTCACTCAAAATACACTCTGGCACACCGAACCGTGCAAATAGTTCATGCAAAAAAGTTGTGGTATTGGACGTAGGCTTTTTGCAGCGTAGTACTTCCGGCCATTTTGTAAAACTATCTACCACTATTACGTAGTAATAATCTTCTACTGGACCAGCGAAATCAATGTGTAAACTTGCCCACGGATGATCCGTCTTGGGCCATGGTTTGTGTACTATAGGTGGTGCCTTAGCTGCTAACGCACACCCTTTACATCGATGAACCATGTTTGCGATATCCACATCCATTCCTTTCCAATATACAAAGCTTCGCATTAAGCTTTTTGTTCTATTAATCCCCGGGTGACCCATATGAAAGTCCCGAAGTATTCTTTTCTGCAACTTTTTTGGTACTACTACTCTCTCACCATATAATAAAACTCCGTCACCTATTGAATAAATCTCCTGCACTTTTTGGTCATTTGCTACCATTTTGCTTTTTTATTTCTAAATGAAATCATCGCTTTCAGTTTCTTTTTTAATTTCCTTTAGTGTAACCGGTAGCTCTCTTACAATGTTGTTTACCATGCTTTTCACCTCATAATCTGCTCTTATATTTGCAATAATTGATTCTTCGAATCTTTCTTCTTGACTCGGTACGAATCTTGATAAACTATCCGCATGAATTATATTTTTGGATGATAAGTGCTTTATGTGAAAATCATAATTGAGAAGAATGGTTCCCCATCTCAACAGACGATTTGCCGTATAAACGGGTAACCCTTTCTTTGAACCAAAAATAGTGATCAGAGGTTTATGATCCGTTTCAAGCATAAAATGTCTGCCGTGGATGTATCTATGAAATTTTGTTATGGCAAAAATGATACTTAGCGCCTCTTTTTCTATCTGGGAGTAACTTCTTTCTCCGGGGAGTAAAGTTCTCGAAGCATGTGCAATTGGTTTTCTAGAACCATCTGGCATTATGTGTTGAATACACGCTCCTATCCCGTATGAACTAGCGTCACTTGCCACTACAATATCCAATTTTGGATTGTAATGGGTTAAAAAGAGGTCTGAATGATTGGATCTCTCTGTATCCTTGGAAACAGTGAATTATGAATTTTTCTGTGCCTTTAAAACTCAGTAAATTTAAAAATAAGTTACTCCAAAATTCGATTGAGGATGAAATGGGACTAATTTAATTACAAAATTAAATTTGAAGCATTTAGCTTCCATTTTTGAAACATGGTTATTACTGTGTAGCGAAAAAAAAACATATTTTAAATCAGTTAATTTATAATATATATATATATATATATTTTCAGTGGTGGTGTTGGGGAGTCGTCAGTATTTAAAAAATGCATTTAATGATCCAGACAAATTCTATTGTGCAACGATAGCCTCACAATTCTGCTATAATCTACGTCCTGAAGAATATTGATAAGTGAAACAAATTAAAGAAAGATAGACAAAAAAAAAAAAAAATCAAAACATGTGTGAATAACAGTTCAGCATGAAGTAATGAAAACCATTTGCATGTCGAGAAATAACGGTTAGTTGTAACTTGAATGCTATTTAAAACGAGACAAAAAGCAGAGGTCGGAAGCTTTTTACCGACGTTGCGAATTAATGAGTGGACGGTGGACCACATAGGAAAAAAAATTCAAATATCCGTTGAACTTCATCTAGTTACATTTTGTGGCGAATCAATAAATAATGCGTGCTAGAAAATCATTTGTGCTTAACCAAGATGCCAATTAGTAATCAAAGAACTCAATTTAGTTGCAATTTATTTCAATCAAGGCATCTTTTGAATCTATTAAAAAAAATACAAAAACCTCTTTAAAGCATAAAAATGTATGAACGCGATGAATTGAATGGCGGTAAATGAAGTCTGATGGAGAAGCCAATTACCTAATTTTTATGCAAACATTCGATAAATCATTTTATACATCAGTTTTTCTTTTGGAACAAAAAAGGAATCTGTGGCCAGCGAAAGAAGATGGAACCTGCAGTCAGCGTAAAAATATGGAGTCTGTGGCGTGTAATAATATGGGACCTCGGGCAAATGTAACAATACAAGATCCGGAGTAACAGTGTAACAACCTTTAGTTTCAAATAGACGGGCCAGGATAATGATGATTTTGATTATTATTATTATTATTATTATTAGTAGTAGTAGTAGTACTTCATTTTGTTTTTTGAAAAGTTCACCCTAGGCGTCCTTATTCCACTCACAGCTTTATTAAATATTCTTAGTCGCTACCTTTTAGTATCGAATAGACGGGTAAAGATTGCTATTATTTCTGTTTTTAGAAAAATCCACCATAGACATTCTTATTCGAACCACCCCTTTATTTATTCGTTGTCACTGGGGGTTTAGTTTCAAATAGACAAACCATAATGATGATGATGATTGTCGTTTTCGTTGCTGTTGTTATTATTATTAGTTCTTTTATTTTCGAAGAAATCCACCCTAGACATTCTTATTTCAACCAGCCCTTTTATTAAATATTCTTAGCTTCTAAGGACTTACCTTTTAGTTTCAAAAAGACGCACCAGCATTATTATTATTATTGTTTTTATTTCCTTTGATTTTTGGCGTGTACACATTTCTTTCCGGGTCCCGCCCAGAGACCTAAGGTTAGAAATGGCATCATGCCACTTTCCACTGACAAAAAAAAACAAAAAAAACCCACATATTTTACATAGATAAAGCCCTTCGTAAAGTGTGGTCTGTACTTGTGAGAACAATTTTTTGTATTTCTTTGAGGCATGGGCTTCCAGGAATCCCTTCAATTAGTCTACTGAAATCTTTTCCAACCAATCCTAGGGCTTCAACTACAACAGGGATTGTTGATGTTCCCATATGCCACATTTTCGAGATTTCTATATCAAGGTCCTTGTATTTTGACAGCTTTTTGAATATCTTCAAAGATACATTTCAGTCTGCAGGGACTGCCATATCAATAAGGAGGGACTTTTTTGTTTGTGGTCTTTAATAACAATGTCTGGGCAGTTGGCTTTAATTGTTCTGTCAGTGTGTATTGTGTAGTCCCATAGAATTGTAACAGGTCCTATCTCCGTAATCGGGTCTGGGTGGTGTTTATACCAGTTATTATTATTATTATTATTATTATTATTA